GGGACTAGCTAGCAACCATCTACTTCCTTCTCCTCAGACATCCCAGTCACTGCCTGAATCAACCAATGCCCAATTTGTATTTTTCAAAATGTGGTTCTGCAGACACTTGACACTTACTAGCTGTGTGACCCTGGGCAAGTTACTCAACCCCATTGCCTAGCCAAACAACAACAACAACAACAACAACAACAACAACAAAATGTGGTCTGGATATAAAATGCAGAACTGAAGGGGATCTTTGAAATCATTGATGGAAATGGGGATGTTTAGAAGAAAAGGAACTACATTTAAATTTTACCTCTGCTACTTACTAAATTGAGTTGGACAAATGATCCCTAAGGTCTCTTCAACCCCATATCTATGATGCTAGTCCAATCAGCTCATTTTGTAGATAAAGACCAGTGGGAAAATCTCTTGTGCAAGGTCACATAGGCAGTAAATGGCACATCTTCATGTCTTCAGTCTTTAGATTCGGTGTCCTTTCCACTATACCATAATGCCTAAGGAGATATTCGAGGGATTATGTTCCCTGAGATGGCAAAATCTAAAGGAGATTACTCTCTTCAAGGCAGTAAAATACTCTAATAACTCAAAGGGTACTTTTATCCACTTGAGAGTGGAGTTCTCACTGCCATTAGGGTCAGATAGGGTAACTTCCCATTCACATCACTCCATTATATGAAATCTTCCCTGAAGCAGGATTGAAATATAAAATTATCTACCATAGAATTATAAAATAACACATTCGGAAGGGGCTTTCAGACATCATCAAGTCTAGTCGTCTGCTGCCAAAATGGGACCATATCTAAAGTACTAGGTAGATGAAGGCCTCATTAAATGCTGGCCCTGTGACTGGATTATCAGATAATGAGACTGGATTTTCCGGGTGACCCATTAACTCTACTCCTAATGAAAAGGGTTTTAGATTGTAGAGGCACCCCAGTCCTGATAATCTCCTTTTGGAATGCCCTTGCTTCTCTGAAAATATGAGAGATCCTTGGCCAGCCTTCTGATGCCCATAATCTCTGAAAGCTCAAAAGACTCCCTAATAATAATGGCTTACATCTAAATAGGCTTCAAGGTCTTCAAAGCTCTTTATACATTATCTCATTTGATCTTTGAAGCAACCTTGAGGGGGTAGAATGAACAAATATCATAGAATCAGTTATTATTCTATGCTTTCAAAGATCCTGGTAATGTCATATGGATGTAAATCATGAAACACCAAAATGTGCCAAGATTCTAAAGTTCAGTTGATCCAGAGACAATCAATAGATAAAATATGTGATGGACCTTAGCAAGTTGCAGCACGTTGTCAATAATGACTTATGTACAAGAAGTAACATTAGGGGCAGCTAGGTGGCGCAGTGGATAGAGCACCAGTCCTGGAGTTAGGAGGATCTAAGTTCAAATCCATCCTCAGACATATAACACTCTGGGTAAGTCACTTAACCCCAAATGCCTCACCAAAAAAAAATAATAATAATAACATTAAAAAATCATCATCTACGGAATACATAATCCAAAAAGAGGGGGAGGGAACAATTTTTTTTTAACTATCTGCTATGTACCAGGCACTGTGCTAAATGCTTTACAAATATTATCTCATTTGATCCTCACAACAACCCTTCAAAGTAGGTGTGTAATGATCCTCATTTTAGAATTGAGGAAACTGAGTCAGAGGTTAAGTGACTAGCTCAGGGTCACACAGCTAGTAAGCATCTGAAGTCACATTTGAACTCAGGTCTTCCTGACTCCTGGACCAGTACTCTATTTACTGTGCCATATAGATGCCTAAAAAGTAGATTAGAGTGTAGCAAGAGTGAGGTATGACAGAAGAACAAGCCAAGTGCTGTAATGGTGTCTATGAAATGTTTTTTTTTTAAAGGTATAGAGCACGTTTGCTAGATATTGACATGGAGGATTTGTGGGAGAATATAGACAAGAATTATTCAGGACAAAAAGGTGTGGATGAGTTTCAATCTGCACTTTTGGAGGAATTGCTCAAATAATGTAACCACGTGGCCATTGAAATCTTGAAGTATTTATGGATGTGAAAATCTAACTCAGAGACATTAAAGGATTTGTCCTGAATCCCATAGCTAGTAAATGGCAAAAAAAAAAAAAAAAAATGGATTTGAACCTTGATCTTTAAACTCCAAATCCAGGGCTTTTTAAAATCCCAATCCAGATGATTTAACTGTAGTTAGCATTTCTCTTTTTATACTAAACCTAATAAATAATTAAAATGGAAATAAAAAAAGAAGACAAGTGAATTAACCATGTAGCACAATCATTTTATGTTCATAATGTTGGTTATATGTAATTTAGACTACATATGATCACTGTATGTCATGCTATATTAGATCCTAATAGCTAGATAGAATAATCATATAGCATTAAAGCAAGGTCTTTTAGAATGAGTTTTGTTAATTATAATGTTCCATTACATCCTTGTGAAACATATCAGCATCCCTATTGAATGGAATTTTAGTGCTAGAAAGGACCTTAGAGATTATCTCTTCCAATCCCCTCATTTTGGAGATGAAGAAACTGAGGCCCATAAAGGTAAAGTGATTTGCCCAAGGTCACATGATCAAGTTTTAAAAAATGTATGAACGTATTTTGTTTTTATGTCACCTTCATTTCTGAATATATCAATTTCTCTCCCCTACCTAGTGAGCCATATGTAGATATAGCTAGATGACAATGATTGAAAAAGAGAGAGAAAAAAGCCATCTGACAGTATATGCAGTATTTCATGCATATAGTCCCACCCCCTTATACAAAGAAGTAAGAGAGAGAGGTATATGCTCTCACTTCCTCTCTTAGTCCACTTTTGGTCATTATAATTACACAGTGTCAAGTTTTGGTTTTTTTGCACTTTTAATTTACATTGTCAAAATCATGTATATTGTTTTCCTAGTCATGCTTACTTCACTGGGCATCACCTCATATAAATCTCCGAATTCTTCAGAGTCACAATTTTTATAATTTAGTCATAATATTGATTATCTTCATGTCAAACTTACTTAAGCAAAGAGGACACAAAATTATTGCTTCTTGCAAATGGTTTACTTAGAGAACCTTAAATATTCAACTTAAATTAACTAAAAACTTCAGTGAAATTTTAGGAAATGAAATAAAGTCACACACACACACACACAAAATCAGCATTCTTGCATATCACGAACAAAATTCAGCAAGAAAAAATAGAAAGAGAAATTCCATTATAAATAACCACACAATGTGTAAAATATCTGGAGAGTTAATCTACCAAGACACTCACAGACATTATATGTATTCAAGTACTAAATATTCATTATAGAAATAAAGGAAAAAAATTAGAGAGATATAATTCTTTGTCGTTTGGACCATGACAATATACCTAAAATTACATATAGGATTTGGTGCCATTTAAACTACCAAAAAGTTATTTTAAAGACCTCCCAAAAATTTAACAAAATTAATCTGGAGGAATAAAAGATCGACAATTTCATGAGAAATTACTTTAAAAAAAAAAAGCCTGGTAAGGAAGTGGGCCTTGTAGTACCATATTTCAAACCAAAACTATTTGGTACTGGCTAATAGGAATGCTGATCAGTGCGGTGGAGCAGATAAGGTACACAGACCCAGAAGCAATCAAAGTAGTTTAATGTTGAATAAATACAAGGATTTCAATTATTGGGCTAAGGATTTCACTACTCATGGAAAACTACTGGGAAAACTGGAAAGCAGTCTGGCACAAATTAAGTGTAGACCAACATCCTACCCCCATATCACAATAATCTTCAAATGGATCCATGACCTGGATTTAAGAGGTTATCTCCTAAGCAAAGTAGAGGATCAAGGAAAGAGATAAATTCATTAACTATAGATAGTGGAAGAGTTTGACCAAGCTTCTCTGTGATAGAAAGGATCATAGGATGTAAAATGAATAATTTTGATGTCACAAAGTTGAAAAGGAGTTGGTTTTTTTTGGGGGGGGAGGCATTGGGTACAAATAAAATAAAAGCAGCTAGAATTGGAAGGAATATTGTTAATTGGGGAAGGGAACATTGAAGTAACTTTCTCGGATAAAATTCTGATCCTCAAGATACTTAGAGAATTGTTAAAGATTGTGTAAGTATAAAAACCATTTCATATAGATACAGATATATGTGTGCAGATGTATATTTATAAGAGGAAGAGGAGGAGGAAGAAGAAGAGGAGGAGAAGGAGAAGGAAAAGGTGAAGGAGAAGGGAAAGGAAGAGGAGGAGAAAAGGTGTTAATGAAACATTTTTTAAATTCACAAAAGAGAGCACAAGGAGATTCAGATGAAGACACATTCAGCGCAGTGTCAGAACTACCCTGATGAGTTTACTTAATAAAGATTCATGCTTTCATTTTCTATCTTCTTTTTCTGTTCTTTGTATAAGAAAATGTGCTTTATTGGATATTTATCAAATTCATAATAATAAAAAGAAAAAAATTAAATTAGCATATGAAACAGTTTGAATGTAAAGCTGATTTTTTTTTTTTTAAATTAGGTGCTGATGTATGACATGTACCATAGACAATCCTAGTTATAGTGGATTTGGGTTGGGTTAGGAGTTAGCAGATCTGGGTTCACATCTCAGTTCTATCAATATCAATGCATTCACTTGACCTCTCAGAGTATCTTATTTCTCATTTGTAAATTAAGGAAGTTGAAACAAATTTTCTCTAAGATTACTTCCAGTTCTAAACTTCTGTTACCTTTTCCTCTTTCACCTTTCACCTTGAGGATCTGGTACATCATGTCATACCAGCAGAAAACAATATCATCACATGTCATCATTGAAGAAGCAGGAACAACATGAAGAAAAATTAGAGTATGAAATTAGTTTCACCATGACTCAGAGACCAAAAGAAGAAATGCTTCCCCACGCCCCCCTTGTGTCACAAGGACATTTCCACCCAGCAGTTTAAATTAGAAGGTCTATATTTTTTCCTACAGAATTTCAAGTTAGAAGGAATCTCAGTGATAATCTAGTACAAAGTACAACCCATATCTGAAAAAGAATTCCCTCTATAAAATATCCAATAAGCAGTCATGCAGCCTTTGCCTGTAAGTCACCAATAAAGGAGAACCTGCTACCTTTTGAGGGGCCCGATTCAAGGTGAGTGCTGTTCAATGTTTAACAAACAGCTGGGGGAGGGAGGGGAATGTACCATACACAATATGCTTTTAAGTTTAATCTGCCAAATTAACATTTTCTTTATCACTTTCTTAAATCTAGACAATCAACAAAGCAATAACTCAAGTCCTGATTGGTATTGCTAGTTTCTGAAGTACAAATGCTCACACTGAAAATTTGACAATCATTCTAGTTCAAGCTGGCTCCAGTACACCCCTGGGCAAATTTCACATTTAGCTACCTCTAATTGTGCTATCACTTACATCTAACTACTCTCAAAAACTAGGATCTGATAAGGAAGATGAATGCTGATGGTAGTTCATTATTAGTTCTATCTATATATGACAGACAGCACAGCTAGGTGGTACAGTGGATAGAGTACTGGGCTTGGAATGAGGAACACTCATGTTCATGAGTTCAAATCCAGCCTCAGACACTTATTAGCCATGTGACCCTGGCCAAATCACTTAACTCTGTTTGCCTCAGTTTCCTCATCTGTAAAGTGAGTTGGAGAAGGAAATGGCAAACCTCTCCAGTATCTTTGCCAAGAAAGCCACAATGGAGTCATGTGAGTCTAAAATGACTGAACAGTAACAAATATATGACAGATTAGTGGCATTCCCTTTTTTATTCCCTCACCACCAACCGCTTGTCTTCAGGAAGCAAAGAGCTGAAGTATTTAGGCTTTAAGACAAAGATATATACATACATGTATATATACATATATACATACATACATATTATATGTGTGTGTGTGCAGTAGGGGGTGGTTTTGAATACTGTGTAGTTCTTTTGAGAACTATTTGCTTATATCCCTTGACTATTAATCTATTGGGAAATGGCTATTAGTCATATATATATATATATATATATATATATATGTATGTATATATAGTTTTTATATCTTGGATACCAAACTCTTGTCAGAGAAATTAAATATAGATTTTTTCCCCATTCAACCACTTCCCTTCTCATCCTAGCTACATTAATATTGTCTGTGCAGAAGTAGTTTTCAGTTTCAAGTAATCAAAATTATCTATTTTTATCTTTTGCAATTGCCTCTATCTCTTGTTTGGTTAAGAACTCATTTCCTACCCATAGCTATGAGAAGTATAGGATCTATTTGTCTTCTATAGACGATTCTTGTTTTATGTAAGTGGACTGTTCAGCAGACCTCTTTGTAAAGTGATTTTTATGTAATATGAATATGCCCACAGATATGGGGAAGGGAGGGAGGAAAGCAGGGAGGGGGCAGGCACACAGTTCAAGGACACATGGGGTCTTGGGATAGAGAAGTGAAAGCAGAAGGAGGAACATGTTGGGGCAGGGCTAGCCATATGGGGGCCTGGCTGGAACAGAGAGAAAAAACATTGGGGCAGACACATGGGGGCCAGACACAGACACAGACACAGAGAGGACTAGTGGCACATGTGGTACTAGGTGCAGACAGATAGATAGAAAATGGATGTGTTGCCAGGACACTCAGGCATTTGGATGGTTTGGGGCAAAGGTCTCCTCTCTCAGCACTGGAGGTCTCAAGCTAAGCCGCCATCTGGCAGTGGCATGATGGTGGTCTCTCGTGGTCTTTTCTGGTCTCTCCACTTATAGGGTCACATTTCACAGGGTCCTCTGTCTCATCAAATGTTGGATCATTTTCCTTTGTTTTGCAGTATTTATTCATAGATGTCTGAACTCATTTACTAGATCTGGAGGGCATATTTACTTCTGTTGTTACTGATTTTCTTGTTGATTTATCTATTAATGCTAAAAGTCTTTGAGTCTCTTCTTCTTTGGTAATTTCTGCCTCTTCCCATCCCACTTCTTTTCCCCATCACATCACTCACTTTCTAAATCCCTTTCCTCTGATTGTTGTTTCTTTGTGGGTTAGATCCCAGAGTATCTCAGCTTCCTCCTATATTGGGCAATACTCAATTCACCAGTCTAGATCTCTGCCCCAACTGACTTTTTGTCAGAACTGGTCCCAACTAGATGCTGTGTTCTTTGCCTAAAGCTTGGTGGAGTGCTGCACAGTCCCTCCATGCACACTCTGTCCTGTCCTGGTGACCTTTCCTAATCCTTCTGTTCCTCAGTCTTCTGGCCCAGGCCAGAGTTTGCAGCACTGTTTCCTCCCAGCCCTGGAACCTCAGAGCTTTGCAGCACTGTTGCCTAATACCACTAGTTCAGAGCTTTGCAGCCCTGGTGCTTCTGGGTTGTAGCCCCTAGCAGACTTTTGCTACTGAAAGGCTGCGGCCAAACTGGCTGTCGAGGTCCAAGCAGACTCCTGTAGGAGGGATCCACAGTCTTCATAGTACTGGAAAGAAGAAGGGCAGACCAGGGTGTAGGAGTGGGTTTTGTTTTAAGCTCGTGTCATGCCCTTGGGTCTGCTAAAGCAGCCTCACTGCTGATAGCTTAGAAGTTATGGGAGGGGTGCTGAGTAATCTCAGGGTGAGCAAACATCACTTCATGGGCTTGGGGTTTTTGGTTTTTATTCTGGGTAACAAACCAAAGAGACAGCTGAATTTGCTTTGTCTTTGGCATATAATTCCTGTTTTGGAGAGGTTTAAGAGATCATGAAGATCAGAGAAAAGATCTGGAACCAGTCCTTTGGTACTTAATCTATAATGAGACAATCAGACTAGGTGACCTTAAAGGCCTTTTCCAATTCTGACATTCTAGCACTATTTTATAAAACATTGCTAAGTCATTTCATGGGTCTTGTGGCTTAAAGCAATCTGCAATTAAAAGGAAAAGCAAGAAGAGATGTATGGCCAGGGGGGAAGAGAGGTAATGAATATATGTGGGAAAAGAGTATTTTAAAAGTCTGCCCAAGTTCCATCCTTCTGAGGTTTTTTCCATGTCCACATCTCTCTGTCCTCCTATAATTTTGCTGTGTAACTTAGTCAAGTATTGTCAAATCCCTATAACGTAAATACTTTAGTGTGAAAACACATTAAAGAATCAGGCAGCCTCAAACATGTACTTCCATTAAGGACTTAAGGGTACCTCAAAGTTCAGTTTCAATGAACAGAAGAATTGGGTGGACATAAAAGAACTCATGTAAAGCAACAGAGGAGATGAGTGGGAGTCTATTTCAAAAGATAACATTTTCTTTGTCCAAATAGCCCTAAGGCTTTTAAAAAGAAAGCAAGAGAATGCAGTATAAGATATTTTAACGAACTCCTCTCCTTGGCATAAACAGATAGAAAAAAAATGAAAAATGGGTGAATTGCCCAACATAAGACTATGAAGTTAAAAAATATATATAATTTTAATAGTTAATTATATACTATTCTCTAAGAGATGAGGGACATGAAGAACAGGAAATTAGAAAAACAGTAATTCCAAGAAGATTGAAAAAAATAATTTGTTTCTCAATGGTAATGAAAAAGAGAATCATGCATTTTAAAAATATGGGCAATTATGTTTATTGGGGAAAGAACAGAGACTGAATTCCACTGATGAAGCAATCACACCTAACAAGATAAAATATTAAGAAAATAAAAAACTGTCTAAAGTTTTTACAGTTCAAATAAGCAAATAGAAGGCAAAATCAGAGTTAGAAAGAACTGACTGTAGACATTAATCAAAGAGTTAAACATTTGTCAAAAGCAAGTTTAGTGATTATAGGAGAAAGGTCAAAAGAAAGTTAAATCAGCACTTATCCTAACTTATGAATAGAGTTATGTTTGATTTGGAAGAAAAATTCTAGGGTCCAGAGAACAGTGGCTAGAAACACTCAGCTTTCAGCAAATGCTCTTCTATAGAATGAAACAAAATGTGGAATTCTGTTAAATAGTGTATGATTACAGGTTTAGAACTGGAATGGGCCTGAGAAGTCATCTAGTCCTAATTTTACTGGAAACTGAGACCCAAAGAATTTAAGTGACTTGCTCAGGGTCACATAAGTCATTCATAGCTTCAAACTTAGGTCCTCTGATACCAGTTGTCCTTCCTGCAAATGGCAATTTCATGATGCAATGAGGGCATTGACGTAGTTCCCAAAGCCCTAGAAGCCCTCTGCACCCTACGTGGTGTTTATACAGGGAAGTGGGGAAAGGACTTGTTTACAGCATTAGCATAATTCCGCTTGGCTTGCGAAAGTTTAGCTGTCATTCTGGGGGCAGCTTCTGACCCCCAAGGTCTAAGTACACAGTGGCTAGGTAAACCCATCACTCTCTCCCGGCTGGTGGAGTTTTAACACTCCCTTCACTTTCTTCACAAAGGTAAAGCAAATAGGAAGGATCACCTGCACAAACGCCGGAAAGTGGACTTCGAAACAGTTTATTGCTAACAACTAGATTTTTTTTTTCTGTCTGTTTAGTTTTTGGTTTTTGACGCTGGGAAGGGATAGTAGAATCCAAAGAGATTTCAGGGAGGAGGGAAACCAGAAGGTTCTTTTGTACAACTAATTTTAGGAGACTGTAAATGTTTTGTTTTTGGTTTTTTTATCATAGGTTCCTCGCCAATTGAGCTGTATCTCTTCGCAGGGTCCTCTTCGTAGGACGTGTACCTATGTCCTAAAGTGGACAAAGGAAAAAAATCCATAGGTATATGTATATAGATGTTGTTGTTGCTGCTGCTACTATTGAATAATTCAATCACATCAGACTCTATGTGACCCCGTGGATTTTATTCCATGGGTTTGGTTTTGTTTTTTTTTTTGGTAAAATATTGGAGTGGTACGGCATTTCCTCCTCCAGAGTGCTCCCATTTTACAGATGAGGAACTGAGGCAAATAGGGGTTAAGTGATTTGCCCAGGGTCACACAGCTAATAAGTGTCTGATTCAAAGCCAGATTTGAACTGAGGTCTTCCTGACTCCAAGTTGGTGCTCTATCCACTGAACCACCTAGTTACCCCATAAATAGAAGGAAAAAGCAAAAATTAAAAGTCACTTCCCTATTGTTTGAATTTGGCCTTTTTGGTGTGTCTTCAGTACCTATTATTTTCTTTGAGAATATAGTGAATACCAGAAGCTAAAGTATCTGAATAAAAATTTCTTTGGAAATAGGGGTATAAATGAGAATCTTAAAGGCTATTTTCTCAGTTTTCTGGGCTCGTACTAGGAAGTAGAACATTTATTCAGCCATAGGAAGCCCTCAGAACTTTCCATTCTCTCAGACAACTTAGATGTTAGCAGAACATCTCAGTTTTGAAATGCTTATTTTGTCTTTGAACCATTTCAAGACCTGCGCTTGTGGCAGTTCGTAAAAGTCAATTATAGTACGGCTTTTCTTTCCTTTTTTTTTTTTTTTTTTAAGTCTACACCTGCTTTGTCATCGTTAACTAGCATTAATTAAACACCTAGTATGTGCCAGAGACTGTGGTAAGCACTAGGGATTCAAAGAAAGACAAAAGACAGTCCCTGTTCTCAGGGAGCTTACAATCTAATGGAGAAGTATAGAGGACACGCCTTTCACAAGTGCAAATAAGCAGCAGTTCTGCAATTGCAGTCTGAAGCATTGAGAGGTTATAGGTGACTTGATAGGTGTCAAGAGCTAGTATGTGTCTGAGGCGAGAGGTCCAACAAGTCTATGGGGTCTTTGCTCCTCACCTTCCGTGCTGGCCATTAAATCCAGCGTGGATTTCAACTATCAGACCTCTAGTACTTTATGTTTTGATCTTTCTAAGCCCACAAGGTCATAGCTGTTTCCAATACTCTTTCAGCAACAGGGCCGTATGATGATGGGCCTCTTTCCCCAGAGTGCTGACAGTAGTTCTTGCCTCTACACCAGGTGAGCTCCTTTGAGAGCAGTGTCTGTCTTTTGCCTCTTTTTGTATCCCCAATGCTTAGCACAGTCAGTGTCTGGCACATAATAGGTGTCTTTTTGACTGTCTGACTGACTTAACCACAGCTATGCAGGAAAGACAATGTCTTTTTGACTGTCTGACTGACTTAACCACAGCTATGCAGGAAAGACAAAACCAGAGTAATAAGACTTGCTGTGGCTGGTTAATGACTTTTGAATGGACCCCAGTTTAGGCTCTGTACCCAGCCAACAATCTGTCCCTTAACCGTGTCATTAGCAGACTGGAACCAGTTACAGAATGTCTGTGCATGCTCCAAATTGAGGAGCAGGACCTTTCCATCACATAGTACTATCATGACTTTCCAGATGCAGGCGCCTTTGGTTCTTCCATGTAGGGACTGTATCAACCTGGCATGCTGTACGTGCTCACCAGCTTTCCCTCCCCTCACCATTTCATATGTAAAGTGCTTTGCAAAATTCAAAGCGCTATGAAGATGCTAGTTTTCATGAGCTCTTATTATTTAAAAATATTTTTTAAGGACCCAAGAGACATAGGTCAAATGAGATAATACATCTAGGAGTATATTTAAAAGTAAAAAGCACTCTAAGTATTATAGTATAAAGTATTATCACTACTAAAGTATATTCTAATATAAATATTAAAGCCACACAAATTCCTTATACATGATGAATGGCTATGAAAAAGATTTCTGTCAGAAAAAAGAAGCTGTCAGGAGATAGGCAGTGAGTCATGGGGGCTAGACTGCCAGTCTTTCAGTTAGGAAGATTTGGGTTCAAGTCCTATTAAATGTTGTCAACCAAAGTGTTTGATCTAAGAAAGACAAACAAATTAGGTTGTCTGCACACTTATTTTCTCTCAAGCTGGCGGCTTGCATGCAAGCAGAGCTACAGACAAAAGGTTGAGCTCCCCTTGGAGTTGGGATACACAATTTTTAAACCCTTCCCACAGGGATGAAGTCATTGCATGGAAATACCCCTTCTATTAGATCACCACCCCCAATCTGGTCCATCTAGACAAAAAGAAACATGTCTCCACCCAAGCTTGAGCAGATTAAACTCCCTTCAACTGGGGGCTCATCAGGACAAGGAGACTTGCATTATCAGTAGTCCTTTTGAATGAGGTTCTGGTTCAGCAAACACTGCAAAGATCTCAGGTATGACCAGCTTGAGGGAAACATGAAGGTCTCAGGTACATCCAGCTTGAGGATTGGTCAGTCTGCCTCCTGATTAGATGATTCTGATTCCCAGATCAGTTTAGTTTCCTCTGGATAGTAAGGAATTTCAAGCAAATCAAGGTTGTTAGTAAAGCCATCAACCATTCTGCCTTCATAATTTTCATAACGTTTACAATGTCAGTGCCTCAGGCAACCTCTAGGGCAGGCAGACATTTATTAAATGCTTTTTCTGTGCCAAGCACTTAGGATATAAATATAAGCAGCTTATAAAAGAGAGGTGAACCTTGGGCAAGTCACTTAACCCTGATTGCCTCACTAAAAAAAAAAAAGAGAGAGAGAGCTGAAAAGGGCAGGGGAGAGAGGTGCTTCAGCAATGGAGTGATGGCAAAGTCCAGAGTTGGGAGGGCAATGAAACATAGCAGGGCTAGGCTCACTTCCAAAATGGAAGTCCCCCACAAAAGGAACTTATCAATGGCAGAAGGGGATAGACATGGTGGTAATCCCAAGTGTTTTTCAGGGTGAGAAGGCAGCTGAGTCACAGCAGTGAAGTCTGTAGAGACAAATTACCAGTCTGCATCAGTGGAGGGAGTTTTCTATACTGAGAAAATCAAAAGTGTAAAAGAAAAAAAGAAGGATTCAACTGATGAGGTCTAGAGGTTTAGGGTGCTGGGACCCTGAGATCGCAGCATGTGGGTCCTGCCCAAAATAATTCAACCCAAGCCTTCTTTCAGCCAAAGACAAGGTTTCTTAAAGATCCGCCATATTAGCCAAACTCTTAAGGAATCTGAGCACCTGTGAGCTATTAGCTAGATTATAGAAATCTGAGCCCCTTAATGGAGACAAGATGGACTTTATATAGAGAAAGACTATGGGAGGGATCTAGGAGTAGCCAAGTGGTGTATGAGGTAATAGACCTGGACCACTGGCCAAGGGAGAATGGAGCCTAGATAGGATTAAGGGTGGGAAGTGGCCTGGGAGGTAAGACAATGGAGGGCTAGGCTAGGTCAAGGGTAACAGAGAATTGGAAGATTGGGCATAGCCACAATGAAAGGCCAATTGATGGAATTACGGCCTCAGGGGAACACCAGAGACCTCCTTGATCAAGTAGGAGAATTCAAGGACAGATCAAGGGTTTTCTAGGGCTTCTAGACAAATAGGGCCCAAATTGGGACAAAGATCTCAGCTTGGGCCTGTACCCCATCACAACAACAAAATAAAATCAACAATGCAATGGGTTATAATGTTCTACATTTCCTATATAAGTTGACTTTAAGCTCTTTTTTCCAGTACTGCTCTGTTCCAACCATAAATAGTCATCTATTCATCCAGGCACCCCTATAAAGGTGGGCATTAGTAAGACTAATGGCCATGGCTAGAATTTGGACAAAGCCAGAAGGACAGGAAAATTAAAAGTCATTGGCACGTATGAGTGCAGTATTGTAACCATCTGAGCTGATTAGCCACTGTGCTTTGAGATGGTAACTGCCAAAGTGATTTTCCTAAAGCACAGATCTGATCTTGTTACTCTCCCATTCGATAAACTCCAGTGGTTCCCTATCACCTCCAGGATCAAATAAAAAAATACTCTCCCTCTCTCTCTCCCTCTCTCTCTCTCTCTCTCTCTCATTCTCTCTCTCTCCCCCTCTCCCACCCCACCCACCATTTCTCACTCTCATTGGGAAGAGACAGGTTGAAGGGGAGGGTAAGTAATGGGATAGAAGATAATATGAAAAAAATTTGCAAACCACTGTACTTTGACAGGGGAGTGTTCATTTAAAGAAAACTGGACATGTTATTTTGGTATAAGGGATGGGGATGTGGGTCAACCTCCCCTTATAATTGAAAAAAAAAGGAGGCAATGAAAAGTAGGTGGAAAAAGAGAGGAATCTGTAGAATTATGAAACCAGATGTTTTTATTTGTTTCCACATCTGTCTAGTCTGGTACATCTCCTCTTTAATTTCCTGCTCAGCTGTCTTCTATGATGACTGCAGAACCACCCAGTGAGCCTGTATCTTTAGACCACCCTGGTCCAACCCAAGGGCCTTCCGCCTCTCTTTCTGGAGTCCCTTAAATGTGCAAAAGAAGTATTCTCCGTGACAAGTAGGTATATCCACCGCGCCCCCCCAAAAAAGATCAAAGGTAGAGGGAGCACTCATACGTGGAAAAATATTTAGAGCACAGTGGGTGCCCATCAATTGAAGAGCGGCTATATAAATTACAATGTACAAATAGTAATGGACTGTTATTATGCCACAAGAAATGACTAAAACAACCGTTTCAGAGAAACTTTGAGCAAAACCTCAAGAGTAATTTGTTTGATGATGACAGTGTTGTAAAAAACGTAACTTTAAAGGACTTAAGAATGCTAATCAATTCAATAAGCAGTAATGAAAAGGCTTCTCTCCTCCCCCTTGAAGGAGAAGTGATAGACTAAAGGGAGAGAATGAAACATATTTTCATCAACAAGCAATGTGTGTTTTACTTAACTCTGTCTCTGTCTCTTTCTGTCTCTCTCTCTTTGTCTGTCTGTCTATCTCTCCTCTCTCTCTCTGTCTCCCTCTATATATATATATATATATATACATACACAAAACATGTACACACACACATGTATAAATTATATGCGTGTGTATTTGTCATAAGAGGAATTTTAGAGGTTTTGGGTGAGGGAAGAATAGTGGGGAAGGAATGAAAATAATGTCCAAAAAAGAAGAAAAAGCGTAAATTAAACATTAAAAATACACAGAAGAAAGTAGAAGGAAGTGTTTAAGGAGACTCAGACAAGTAGAGCAGTGTAAGTGCTACCATGTTAATTGTGATATATGCCAAAAAAAAACCACCCAAACTGTATGTAACAGAGATTCATAGTTTCATATATAATCACTTTTTTTGTTCTTTGTATGTGGAAACTTTCATGTTTGTTATATTTGTCAGGTTCATAATTTAAAAAAAAAAAAGCAGTGCATAAGCACCACAGATTTTCATGATAATCAACTTGCCCCTATCATAAATGCCATCTTACCTCTTTTCCTCCCTTGGACAATTCATCATTTTTAAACTCTCTTTTCCACGCTAAGGATTCTTCAGCCCTGACCTTTCACCTAAGCAAGAGTCTCACATCTGAGAAGCAGCACTCCACCAAAGGTAGCTATGTAACCAAGTACATCACTTAATTTTTCTCAGTGACTCTTCTTTCCTTATCTTTAAAATGGGAATGATTCTATTTTTCTTGGCCAAGCCTCTACTTGGTGTTGCCAAGGAAATGAGGACATAGGAAATGAATGTTCACAGGGTCCAGCAGAGATTTCTTCTTCCTCTTCTCCCCGTAGAATTTTTCTGTGATCTTGAGAATGAAAAGATTTGTGACAGCAAGAAGCAGGAGGATAAGATGAGCGAGGGAAACTTGTTTCTCAAAATATGGACTTCCTTCCAGCATCCGCTCTGACCAAGGCAGAGACTTAGAGAGCAAAGTACCCAAGAAGATGTTAGCTATACCTTACCATCCCCATGGAGACCTACAGCCTGAGCATTTCAAATACAGAGGTGCAATGGGGAACAATTTGGAACTCTGTACAAAGGAATATAAAACTGTGTGTGTCCTTTGACTCAGTGATACTGCTGCTAGGTCTGCACCCCTCCCCCCTAAGAGATCAAAGAAAAAAGAAAATGATTCATATATACGAAAAATATTTATGGTGGCTAAGAATTGGAAACTGAGGGGGTGTTCATCAATTGGGGAATGACTGAACAAGTTGTATGCAGAGCACGTTAGTCCCTTTGAGGCCAAAACAAAAATTCCAGTGGAGTCAACATAGAAACAATTCTATTAGGAATTATATCAAGTCTAACACTGTCAACACACTATCCTATCTAAAATCCTGTTTTCTTCGAAATTGGCTCCTCCTCCTGACTTTCTTAGTTCTGTTAATGGTCCTTGCCTTTTTTCCAAACCCAAAAGTTGGATGTCATCTCTGCTTCCTCCTTTTCCCTTACCCCTCCATATCCAATAGCTGCCATATCAATTCTTCCTCTTTAACATCTTTCTCATTTGTCCTTTCTTCTCTATTTGCTCAGACATTCCCTAATCTCATTCTTAGACAATTGCAATAGCTTCCTATATGAGGTCATTGTCTCTAGTCTCTTTCACTTCTCCATCTATCACCCTATAGTCAGATTAATTGTCCCCAAACACCTCTTTAGTCGTCTTACCTCCCTGTTAAAAGAAAATCTTCAATAATTTCCCATTACCTATGAAGTAAAATACAAACACTAATTGGGCATTCAAGGGCTTACATAATCTAATCCCAACCTACCTCTTGACCTTTGTATCTCCACTATCAATTAAGTATTTATTAATCACCTAATATCGTCCAGGCACTATGCTAGGTGCTAGAGATACAAGTAGAAAGAATGAAATGATCTGTATTTGCATCACTATTCTCCCATTCTACACCTTATGCTCCAGTCATAATGGTCTACCATGTAGCCTCCAAGCAAGTCATGTATGACTATTTCCACCGTCATTGCCACTTCCCTACAACATCCTCCTCCTTCATCTCCACTTTCCTTCAAGGTTTCATAACAATCTCCTAGTAGAAAGTGCATTAAATTTGAAATCCAGAGATGTGCATTCTAGCTCTAGCTCTGCCATCACGGAAATTTAGAGTTGTATCTTTTTATCAGCAGTCATCTGGTCCAGGCCATACCCCACAAAAGAATCCCCATTACAACACATATGCATGCCGGTTATCCAGAATTTGGTCAAAGACCTCCGATGGTGGGAGAGAGGAAGGAGAGGTCCCCTATCTTCTAAAGCATCTGATTATATTTATGGATATAAGCTATAATCTTACAATATAAATATATGATATATAATATATTATAATACATATTATATATGACACATATAATATAATGCAAATTTTCCTTTTTTCAACTTCCACCTTGGATTAAATGACCTTTTAGGTACCTTCTAACTCTTGTTATGTGAATGAATTACAAATTAGTGGCATTGACAATAAGCAACATTAATTTAGAGGAAGAAAGGATTCTAGGATTCGATAAAATGTCACCTCCTCCAAGAAGGTTTTTCTTACTCTATCCCATTAGAAATGATCATTCTCTCCATGCCTTGTCTCTCAGTGATCCCATTAGCTTCAATGAATTTAAGTATCATCTCTGCTCAGATAGTTCCCAAGTCTTTAGGTATGAACCTCTTATATTCCTGAGTGTCAAGCCTGCACCACCAATTGTCTATCTCAAACTCTACATGTCCAAAACAGAATTCACTGTATTTTCCTCGAACCCTACCCCTCTTCCTAACTTTCCTATTTCTGTCAAAGACAGAACCATCCTGAGAGTCATTCTCAACTCCTCACTATCCCTTATCATTTCTCTTCCCCAGTCAATTGATTGCTAAATCTCATTTATTCTACCTCCTCAAAATCTCTGCTATTCCTCTATTTCTCTCCATTCACACAACCCTTCCATTAGTTCTGGCCCTCAACATCTATCCTCTAGATGATCATTACTCCCTCTGCCTCAACCTCCCTGCTTCAATGCATTGCATAGCTGCCAAATTGATATTCCTAAAGCTCAGCTCTGAGCCTGTCTCATTCTTGCCCAAGAAGCTCCAGTGACTTCCTATTATCTCTAGGATAAAATACAAACTTGTCTATTCAGCATTTAAAACACCTCATAATTTGGCTCTAGCCTACTTTTCCAAGCTAATTACTCATTTCTTTTCTCTATACCTTCTATGTTCCAGCCAAACTGGTTTACTGTAATTGTTTTTCCTTGCACATGACATTCCATCTCCTATCTCTGTGCCTTTGAATAGCCCTTACCTAGAACACTCTCCCTTCTCACCTCTTTCTCTTGTCCTACCCAGTTTCCTTTAAAGCTCAGCTTAAGTACTTACACAAGTCCTTTATCTCTTCAGTTGCTAGTCTTCTCTTCCATTTTTAAAAAAATATTGGTTCTTCCTATCTCAGTGAGGCTGGAAATGTAGAGGTTAATTATGGACCTGATCCCATTAATGATTGGCACAGGAGATTTAACCAACTTTATTTTTTTTCATCCCTGGGCCAGTTCACCCCTCCTTAGTTAGCCTGGTGGCCTCTTATTCCTGGGCCTCACCAAATCAGTTCTGGACTTAGTGCCAACACCCAGTTATCTTAGACTATTGCAGCTCCTGAACTGAAGAATCAAGTTCTGGGGCAGCTAAGTGGTGCAGTGGATAGAGTACTAGCCCTGAAGTCAGAAGGACCTGAGTTCAAATCTGGCCTCAGACCAGATGCTTGACACCTTACTAGCTGTGGGCAAGTCACTTAACCCCAACTCCCTAAAAAAATTGTTAATTTTGGGGCAGCTAGGTGGTGCAGTGGATAGAGCACCAGCCCTGAAGTCAGGAGGACCTGAGTTTAAGTACAGCCTCAAACCAAACACTTGACACTTATTAGCTTTGTGACCCTGGGCAAGTCACTTAACCCCAATTGCCTAAAAAGAAAAAAAAAAGAATCAATTTCTACCTCCTCAGCAGCAATGAAATGCTATACTCTACCATACCCATTTTAATATTCACTTTTAACATACATTTTTAATTTGTTTATATGTGCACATGTGGTTTCTCCCAATGTAAATTTCTTGAAGACAGGGATTATTTCACTTCTTTCTCTGAATCCCCAGCACCAAACAATGCCTCATATATGGTAATAATTTAATAAACACTTGTCGGACAACTGATTGAGTCCTATTCTCACACAGCTACCATCCTAGTTCAGGCCCCTAAAGCCTCTTGCCTAGCCTATTGTAATAGCCTCCTCCTAATTGATTTCCCTGCTTTCAGTTTACTTCCTTTCCTAATGCATCCTCCACACAGTTGCCAAAATAAATCTTCCTAAAGCACAAGTTTGACTGTATCACTCTCCTGTTCAGAAGTGTTCGCTATGACCTCTAGGAAAGGGATTGGCAAACTACAAGCTGAGGACCAAATCCACTTTGGCCTGCTGGCCAGAGTTTGCTGACCCCTGTTAGGAAAAAATAAAAAACTTAAAATTTGGCACTTAAGGTGTTCCACATTTCAGCCCCTGTCTACCTTT